AATAATAATAATTCTTTAATAAGATTTAAAGAAATTATGTAAAATTTATTAAAATGTAAATTGAAGCATTAGTGTAATATCCAAAAAGAAATGAAAGATAGACGGTATCTATAGATATGATCGAATTGATGTCTATGAATCGATGTTTATAAACCAATTATTTCTCTCTGGGTATAAACTATTATAAATCAATGTGTGTTCAAATAACGCTAACCTCATTGACACTTATGCCTATAAACACATCACTTTATTGCTTTATCATCATATTATCTTGATCTTCAGACAAGAAATGTTTTAATGCAATACTTGTTATATACTATGTAGTTGGTATGTACAGTATATTTTTTTGAAATTAATCTTATGTTTTTAAAGTCTTAAAATTAATCTTGCGTTAGAAATCTTGCGAAAAGAAATATTTAATTAAATAATTTATATATGTATAATAAAATTAAATTTAAGATATTTTAACTTGATTTACTTTTGCCTCCTTTTTTAATTTTTTTAATTGTTTTTAATTGTTAATAAAAAAGTGAATTCAGTGTTTAAAAAAATCGACATTATTTTTATTAAACTATTAATATAATAAGTATATATAGTAAGCATGTGTGCTAATCGCTAATATAAACGAACGTTCCTGCAAATAACGCTTTATCGTTTGTTTTGAGTCACAGAATCTCTTCGCTTGCATTTATCCTTCATAAATTTAACGTTGAACACCAATGTCATGCCTGACGATAAAGTCGCGCCAGTAAATACAATAACGTATGCAACTTTCTTATGCAAAATATTCTGTAAACGCCGTTTTTAATTTAATAGAAGTGATACTAAATAAAAAATTGGCACCAAATATTCAATGGAAAAGGGACAAATGATTAAATAATATCTAATGAGGTTTAAAAATCTGCAGAATCTTTCGTAATAATCGTAACACTTTACAATTTAAATAACGCTGGTATTTTTAGCAACATGTTTTAAATGTGTATCAAGAACATTGTAAGTTTTGGGGGATTTCTTAAATTAATTGCAGTTGAATGTTCGCTCTTTGTAAAATGTCACCGGTTTTTAAATTACAATCGACTCACTGATCATTGATTTGGTGCAGAGATCAATAGCACTGAGTATATGTTACTTATAACATTTATTATCTATGTGATAATAATTTGATCATTGATTTAGTGTAGAGATCAACAGCATTGACTATATTACTAATAATATTTGTTACTTATCTGATATCCATTTTTGTAGCTTAATTAATATTGATTTTTATTGTTTTTTTGACATAATTTATAGAGACGGTGTAATCTGTCGATTAACTAATAATATTATTAGCAAGCTATTTATCATTAATAAATTCTAACTTTTATAATCATAAATATTCATTATTTAATATTTTATTTGAATAGAAATATGAATAATTGATTAATTAATCTAATTCTGTTAGAATTATGTATGTATACATATAATTATATAAAGAATAAAATTTATCTTTTTTTTTTAAATAAATATTTGTGAAAATTGATATTTTAATATTTGTTTCTATTCAAATTTTGGCGTTTAGAAAATATAACAATTTTGCGAAAGAGATATTACACAGTAAAATTTCTAGTACAATAGGCTTCTTTGAATATAATTTAAAAAATTTAATAAAATAAAATTAAAATATTATGCATATTTAAGAAAATATATTTATTTTTTATAAAATGTAAAAAGTTCTAAATTTATTTCTAAATAAACGTACACATTATTTAAATGAAACGTTTCGGTTTACTTAACCATTTTTGGACATTATATAAAGAAATATTAAGTCTAAGTATAGCAAAAAAATGCCATTACATAAAAAAGGCACATCAAAATCATTTTTACAATTTATACTTATTGCAATGTATTCATAAAGCAAGTTGTATAATTTGGTGTCACAATGTAAAAAAAAATCAGAGTAAATTCATCGTTGCCATATGAGAATGAGCTGAAATGTAAAATAATACTTTCAAATTTAACGGCCTGATAATAAGCGTGAAATCCAAACGTTCTATTGTAAAATAATCAAGTGATAAGTTGTCGCAAGTATTAAAATTATAATCTACAATAAGTATATGTAAACTTATTTGTAAAAACTTACTTGTAAAAATACTGTAGTATCGGTTTAAAAACGCACACGTCTATCTCGTTACGAGATTCAAACATAAGTGAGAATCGTGACGGTATTAGCGATAAACAATATTGTAAAAACAATGACATGGAAGTTTATATGTCCTTGATAAGTAGGTTTAATATATTAAAATGAGATTTATCCAACGGTGCTCCATGTTACATCTCTTTCATCAAATTAAGCCCATTCGCGTTGTTCCTTTGTATAACATTCTTTATAATATTTCTGTAAAATTAATCTTTTATAACATTTGAGGTTATAATTCATTATTCTAATGTTATTCTAATTAAATAAATAGTTTGAAATAACGATACGTTCCGTGATAACGGAGTGTTTGAATGAATCTAATTGAATGTGTCTACAATGTTCGTTTAATCTAGTTTCCCCTTTGTTTCAAGGAGTACAAGACGTCACAGTTTTCACAAAATAATTTATATATTACATTATTATCAGTTAAATTATGTTACGTTATTATTAGTTAAATTATCCATTCTATCTTTTTGCGCTCTGACGAATTTATTGAGTTTGTTAAGATATCTGTAGCCTACAATATTCATTCTTCATCACACAATATAATTCATCTATCGTAGGCGGTATTATCTCTGATATATTTTTAATATACGGAATAATATTTTCTTTTTACAGTTTTGACAGATCTATTATTGTTAATCGTTTATGATTATTTGTATTTAATTTTGATTTTTGAAATAGTTTTCTTTTTGGAATTTTGATTGAGGATATTTGATTGACCTTAATGCTTTTAACAATCACCACAACAATAGCTATTTCAAAAATATTTAAATAGTAAATTACTCGTTAATTTCAATTTGTTGTTAACATTTTATTTTGGAATTTAAAAGTTTATTCGGTAAAAGATACGAATAAATTATTCCTAATGTAAACCTTATTTATTTCTCATGCAACCTTATGCAATAAAGTTAGAAACTGAATATGTAATTATGTAAATCTAAAAGAAAATAAATCGCAATCTATTATTTAAATTTTCTGTAACCGGTTGTTAATAGATAATTATAAATAAAAACTTTAATAAAAAAAAATTACTTACTTTCTTACGTAATCCACAAGTTTCTACTATATGTTTGAGCAGGTTCAATACTTTTCAAGAATATTAGTCTTGTCGGAGTCATTTTAATTTTCGAAAAAATAGTTATTTTTTCGATAGTTTCTACTATATTTAAAAAATGAAAATATAAACAATTAAATACATATTAATATTTACTTATGTTATTTTTTATCAATATGTTAAAAGAAAAAGTAGAATTGAATTAAACTTATTATTATACAAATATTGTCTTCTTATTTCAAAAAAAAATTTAGTTAGTTATCAAGGAACTAACTAAATTTTTTTTCGAAATAAGAAGACAATATTTGTATAATAATAAGTTTAATTTAATTCTACTTTTTCTTTTAACATATTGATAAAAGTTTAATTTAATTCTACTTTTTCTTTTAACATATTGATAAAAAATAACATAAGTAAATATTAATATGTATTTAATTGTTTATATTTTCATTTTTTTCAATTGAACACATGTGCAAAATTAATTTTCACGTATGTGCCATATTTACATAAGTATTCCATCCTTTCCATATGTAACAAATATATATTTTTATTAATAAAGTGCAAATTCTTATTTTCTGTTTCGTAAAAGAAGACATTATTCTTTCAACTTTGGTGCGAACCATAAATATCGCTGTAGATTTAAAATGAGTCATGGATGCAAAGCGAGAAGGAGAATGGTTAATAAAGCATTGCATGGACGAGGATACGTATATATATAGCTTCCTCGATACGCGCGAATTAGTTCTGATATCCATTCGCTGCATAACCGTTCGGATCACTCCGTGGTGCATATAGCATTAGAAAGTGTCACTACGTAAGAAAAATTTTGGGTCGGAAAATGCTTACTATAGTCCTTGCTTTTGCACTTATAACAACAAGCTACGTTACCGCAAAAATACGTGAGTAAAAAGAAATATGTGATCTTTGTCTACATTACAAACGCACAAGTCTTTCTTTATTATTCACAGAAGAATCGCAAACAACACTTACAGTGCAAATATCACGACCGAGAATGTATTAATAAAACATTATTTCTCAAGTTAGATTATTTCGTTGTGCAAAGAGCCTTTGCAATATTTGCTGTTACAGGCATTGCGATAATATTAATTATAAGGTATAATGCAATAGCAAGGCAATGCACAAGCTGCATGCCTGGCATTCGCCGGGTCGTGAACGTGCATTAGATAGCTAATAACATAAACGCGCATTGGAGGAAAAAAATGTTTATATACGAAAAGAAGTATTCCAGTCTTTGAGCAAAATTAATTAAAGTGAGGGGTGCAGCTATATATCAACTGACAAGAATTTTTCGTCGGACATTTCCGCTTGTGTTGCGTTTCATACGACACATATGCACATCTAGAAGAGAACGTCTTGTAAAGAATTTCTGTAACGCGGCAACATATTTCGTAGACTTGACTTGCTGTGCAGCCACTTGTAACAGATTCGTATATACTCTCAAAATGCAAATTATATTCTAATGCGAAAGTAACGCAGCAAAAATATTAAGTAAAAGTCCTGTGGCGACATTCAGGAATTTTTCTACTAATAATTATTTTGTTATTAAAATTTACAAAATTTATGCCAATAAGGAAAGGTTTAAAGGCCAAGAAACGAGAAAAATATTTTATAAAAGACTTAAAAATAAATAAATAAATTATCCTTTAATTCCAAATAAACGTTTTGTATTACACAGAGTCTTCGTCAGCTTATAAAATTAAACGATTTAAAACATTGAAATAAATAAAAATGCAAAACTTGTTCGCAGTTATAAATAAAATAAAGAAAAAAGTAGATTATAATACAAATTACAGAACAAAGAGGCTATATCAAAACTAGATACATGTATACATATAATGTATTTTTTTGGAAAACCACAACATAAAATATTAAAGTTGTGGTCATCGAATAAAATACGTCTAAAATGCGTCGTTCGGTAACGAGAGAGAGTTGAGTCTGAAAATAAAAATAGATTGGTGTTCAAAAGAATGTGTGTGGGTGATAAAAACCAGTCAAAATGTAGTATGATCATATTCATTTCTTTAAACTCCAATCCACTTCTTTTACTTTCAGACTCAACTTTTTCTCCGAATGACAGTGATGTATTTTATTCAATGACCAAATTTAATTTTATGTTGTAGACTTCCAAAAGAATGTATCATATACATGTGTCTAGTTTGATATGGCCTCTTTGTTCTGTAATTTGTATGATGGTTTAGTTTTTTTCTTTATTTTATTTATAACTCCGATTAAATTTTTTATTTTTATTTATTTCAATGTTTTAAATTATTTAATTTTATAAGCTGATGACAACTCGTGTGTAGTACAAAACGTTTATTTAATATTAAAAGATAGTTTATTTATTTATTTTTAAATCTTTTATAATTTTGCTTGTTTCTTGGCTTTTAAATCTTTTCATATTATTTTATGATACACAAACTTGACTTTTATCTATTATAAAATTTATGGATTATTATTTCACGTATGCTGTGATTTAATTAGTTTTACATTGCATTATATCTTTCAAGATTAATTAATGATATTAATATTGCTTATGATAATTTAATAATCATAAACTGTATCATAAAAATTGCGTATTTTTTCGAAGAAAGAAAATTTTTGCATTTTATCATTGCTCTATTTATCCTTTTTTATTGATAATTTTATTCAAGATTACAATTTAATAAAGATGAATAATATTATTTACAGCCTCCTACATTCACGTGTGCGGTAGAAGAGATCCAAAAATCGATCAATGCATCTGGAACAACATTGACAATATAAAAAGTAAAATCTGCGAAGGGATCCCGGATTTGGATGTTCCGCCCAGTAGTCCATTTGTTCTTGATAGACTAGTCATTTCGGACAACCCTAATTCCAAAATAGCTATCGACAATTCACAAGTATCGGGACTTTGCGACTTTGATATAAAATTTCTTCATGTAAATCTCGATAAACTCCATTTCGATGTCAATCTCAAATTCAAACGGATCCAATTGAATTCCACATATGATTTAGACATACGTCTACTGGTGCCTATCGTCTACAAGGGACCAGTTTATATTACCACCGGTACGTGAAATAATCGTACGATATTGCATTATAGTAAAAAAAGATTAAAAATGCTTGTTTCAACATAACGTTTTCAAATACGTAATTTTTTTTTATTGGAAAATATTAACTTTAGTTTTATTCTGAATTTTGTAGACAATGTAGAAGCTAAGGTAAACATGGACATGAGCACGGTAAACAAAAATAACAAAAGATACGTGTACATGTCGAAGATGAAGATAAATCTCGATATCAAAGGATACACTGCCGAATATGGGCTGCAGGCTGCGGAATTGGGTCGACTGAACCAAATCATTGATACTTTTCTAGGCAGCAATCAAGAAGAGGTTATTGCTGCCTTTAAACCGGCAATTGAAGAATCAGTTGTCAAACGGATTCTCTCGCTTTCCAACAGTATAGTTAAACACTTTACGTTCGACGAGCTTTTCCCAGACCGAGAATAAATGGCCTAATAAGTTCTTGAAATAATTGTCATATAATGATTATTTCGTCATTTGTCTCGTGATGCACTTAAAGAATATTTGGAATAAAATTGACCATATTTTTAATTAAAATTTTAAATGCTCTCTGTCTACTGATTTGTGATAATTATGAGGATACATGTCGCGACATTTGATATAACAATATTGATGTTATAAAATTATTAGAAAAGTACAAATGAGTAGGACATAAAGTTGTGACAATGAATTCTTTATATTATACTTATATCGTATAATACAATCTTTATATATTCTACATTTTCTTATTCTACATATGTTAATTTCTTGTATATGTACTGTGTTGTGAATCTCTTTTCTTATTTTATTTATAACTTCATCATTACTCACGTCAATAAGATAAATATGTCTGTGTACATTAAAAATACTAAAAAAAAAGGTTTATAGTAAACAATGCGTTACTTTAAGATAATATTATGCATAAATGCGTATTTAAGTGTATTTTGTAATAATGAAGAAACATTGTTTTAAATAATTAAATATTGTAATATATCAGTGTGATTGTTTTAATAAAAGAAATTTAAACAAAAAATATAAGTAATGTAAATCACTTATAAATCTTGATTACATTTACATTATGAATTTATTGTTACCTTTAAATGACTGCCTGCATGGTAAGTTGATCAGGTGAAATTAATTTATGTTTCGCAATGTTTGCAACTAATGGATAAATTTGAAATTCTAATTTGAATTGTAATTTGTCTGACGTGAAACTTTATATAACCAAGGAATCATAAACACTTATCTGCGTAAGTTCAATATTTGGTTTATTTATTTACATAATAAAATTATTACAAACACATTTATTAAATTAAATAGATCATTTAATAATCTTGTAATAGCAACAATTTTTTTTAAACAAGACCGACATATGTATACAACAAATAATAATTATTAAATCTTGTAATAAGTTACGAATTAAAAAAATATTGCAATACAATTTGTAATAATTATTTTATGTAAAAATCTCTTTTTTTCTATCTTTTTTTTCGCGCCGCGGCTATCGTTTTATCGCATCTGTTACGTGAAAACTAGATTGATAATTGACTTTTTTTCTCTTTTTGAACTTTGATGCGCGCGCTAATATGTAATGTGTGCATGTCTGATTGTATATATTTATGTGCATATGAGATTTTGAATATATGAATGCTCTTGTGGACGTATAATTATTGCTTTTTTGCTCTGCCTCAGAAATGGGTAAGCTTTGTAACAGCTGCAGTCTTGCTGATGCCCAACCATTTACGTGTGCTACATTATTGCTACATTTCTTTTAATTATTGTGTAACATTATGTGATGGAATTGCAGTAAAGATAAAAATAAAGAATTTGAAGAATGGACTGACTATTAGCGCAAGAAAATGCGTAATATTACGCGCGCGTGCGAGATAAGCTTGTGATTAACTTATAAAATATTGTACAGATCCTGAAAATCCATGAGTTATATCACAAAGAAATTATGATAAATTTGAGAAATTAAATACAGAAGAGGCAATAATGTTAAGAGGCATTATTATTTAACAGATATTAAGTTAAAAAACTTTATTCAACGATTCGTAACGCATTGAATTCGCAGGTATCGATGTACACTTGTATACACTGTTATTACAAGATTATAGTTACAAGGACATAATGCGTAATTGTAATGATTTTACAGATTACTAATTCCTTGTTAGTAAGTAAATTAAACTTGCTTTGCACAAAATGCTGTTTGCTGTGTGCATTGATAATCGATTTTTTTATCTTGATACTCGTTCCAAGCTTTCAACTGCGTCGAGTCAATAATGAAAGAATCGGAATTGAAAAAAAAAAAAATTTTTGCTATATAGTGCTGTATTGACAACTTTGTAGAGAAGTACTTGATTTTCGTCAATCAAGAATTTTCCATCTAATTCTAGGTGCTTTGTTAGTGACTTATACATTTTTTGTAATTAATAATAATTAATTACAAAATAATAATAATAATAATTTAATAATAATATAGTAATTAATTCAAAAATTGCAGATTCGAAAGGTTTTACCTGATAAAATTAACAATGTTAAAAATGTTTATTTGAACTTTTGACAAAATTCACAAGTATTTTTAAAAATATATTTCTTCGTTCTGTTTTAAAATTTTTTGAAATGTATTGTTACTCTTTTTAAGAGCTACAGTATTGCACAAGTATTCAGCTAATTAATTGTAACAGATATATCATAAATTATTAAAGTTTTCTATCAAAATCGATCAGAATTGAAATAATACCAAGATCGTTCCATGATCTCGATCTAATTCTTTCAACTTCTGTTTTCTATCAAAATTAAATTTCGGTTTAGTCGCGATTAGGCCGAGTTTACATTCGTTTTATAAAATTTCAACAAACTTAACAAGTTAAACGATGTGAATCTCAGTTGAGCAAAGAAGATTCAGCGGAAAGTGGTACTAAATTCTAATTCGTTCTATTGCTCATTTCGCAATAGAATCGTGAAATTTAATTTATACATTTTCCAGCCCGTCCGATTAATCTGGATCACCGCGTAGATCACTATGCGCCGGGGAACAGTTGGGAGAATGTGAACTGTTGAATGATATTGCCGGCGATATGCTGGAACGCGTCGGACAGCGCTTTTTCCACGATCGGCAAAAGCTCCTTCAAGAAGAGATCGAAATTGTTGTTGATAGCCGAATTGACGATGTCTCCGAGGGCTCGTTCGCCGCCAAACAGATTGTCCAGCTTCAGCGTACCGTTGCCCACTGAGACTTTCATCCTGAAGTCCATGATACGCAGCTTCTCATCGCCGTTCTCGTCAAGATATTTCGCAAGCTGTATTTTACATGCGCCTGGAAAGTTGACCGAGATTTTACAAGATGAATAAGTCGAATGTAAAATTATTACTGCAAGCAATGACGACATTTATCGCACATTGTTCGCAAAACGCAATTTATTACAATGACACATATATGCATTGTATACACAGAAAAAACGATTTCTTTGGATTTAATCAATTTTATTGTATTCAAACAAATTTGTTATTTGGAATGGCCCAAGCAAACCAATGTTTGAATCAATAAGTACGATTTGAATTTGAAACAATGTATATATTTTCGTCTTATATAAATTGCATAGAATAACGCATATTAAAATATTTTGCTATTTTCATATAAATAAATTATTTAGATCGGAAGAGCAC